GGGGGGGGAGGTCGCTTCCTCCGATTACATGTACAGGCCAGACACGGCCCCCGTCTTCGCCGTCCTGTCGTTGGCGTTGTTTTTCCTCTCTACTCGGTGGGCAGCAGGGCCCAGCACGGCTGTGCCGTGCGGTCAGTACGGTGGTCACACCTCGCCGTCGGGCAGCCGTCCAGCAGCGCCGTCGGGCGCAGCCAGCCTCGTGGCGACCGCAGCGCCGCCGCCCTGGAGAGCGGCGACGCCGGGAAGGACGCTCAGGGTTACGCTACGTACGCCCCGCGCCGCCGCGCCCCGCCACGCCCCGCGCTCTACAACAACAACAGAGCGCCGGGACGACGACGGGACAGACGGGCGGGATCACGTTTGGCGCTGCTCGCCGTGGCGCGGCGTGGGGCGGCAGCAAAGCCCTCCTGCAGGACCTGCCTCTGCACGGCACGCGGGGCCCTGCGCTCCGCTCGACCCAGCGGCCCAACGGGCCGGGCGGGCCTGACTGCAGGTGGCCGGACAGACCCAGCAGCCAGCCCGGCCGCCGACTAACACACACACACACACATGCTCAGGTCTAACTGTCCAGTTCCGTTGCAGTCGCGGGTCGGGTCGGCGAGTTGGTCCGGTCAGGTCCACTTCCAGGATCGGGTAGATCCGCGGGTATCCGGGCCCCGACGACGAGTATGGCGGCGGCGGCGGCGTGCGACCAGAGCAAGCCGCCAGGTCCGGGTCGGGTCGCGTCGGGTCGCGTCGGGTTCAGGGTCCAAGGTCTGCCCGCGACCTGTACTGCCGCGGTAGGTTATAGCGGGCCTCCGCAAAAAAGATCAAAGCTCGTCCGAGCCGACCTGACGACCGGCTAGCTGCGAAGTGTATCGTTTATCGGCCCAGGTTCCGCTGGACGGGCCAGCACGACCGAACGCGGGGCGCGGCGGGGCGCGGGCACGGCCAGGGTCAGGGCTCATCAGTCAAGCTCTGGGTCACGAGCGGCCGGGGCAGATATCGGGTCAAGCGTCAAGCGGCATCAGCCCCCGCTCCCCCCTTTACAAAATCCAAGCGGCGTGCGCGCAGGGGGGCCTACCGGCAGGGACGGGCCGAGGAGGCTCTGGCTCATTACAGATAACGACGTATAAACAAATTCGAGCGCGGAGCGGAGGGGTCGGGGGCAAGACGGTGGCGTGGGGGCGGGCAGCAAAGAGGAGGGAGGAGGAGGAGGATGCCCCCCCCCCTCCCGGCCAGTTCGTCGCTCCCGTTGGGCAACCCGAAACAGGCGTGATTATGAATGGGGGCCACGCCACGCCAGCGGCAGCAGATCTAGGCGAGACGAAGACGAAGCCCGGCAGCGGCGGCCGGGTGTCTTGTCCAGCAGCTCGAGGGTTGGGTGGGGTGGAGTCCCTCGGGTGGGCACCCAGGGCACATGAGGTAGAGCAGGAGCAGACCCCTCTGTCACGGGCCATTGGCTCCGCGACGCGGCCGATCACGAGAGAAAGGAAGAACGAAGCGACGAAAGGGCAGCTCGCCGAGAGAGCAGCACCCAGCCGGCGAGCAGGCAGCCTGCCGGCCTGGCCTAGTCAGCCTACTGACCGCGTGGTCATCAAGGCAATCCGGAAAGTTCCGCCTCCGAGAAGGCTGACGGATCCGCGCCAAAGTGCACACCCCCCTCGCCCGAATAGGTTGATGTGCATCTGCATAGAACTTGTTAAGCAATCGCGGGGGGATAGACGCGCAGGGAGTGGTTTGTCGACCGAGCGCGTTTCGTCAGTCCCGTGAGCGCTTAATTAAAACATTCCACAAGGGGGTAAGGCCAATTAAGCGGGCGAGCTAGAGACACAAAGGAAGCGTTTGCAGCAGCCAGCAGCTTCGCAGCCGTCGCCGCAGCAGCCGTCGCCTGTGCGTGGCTAGAGCGGCCGTGAGGCGGCGGCGGGCGGCTGCCACTTCTACTTTGCTCTGCTCATGGGATGGGATGGGGCGATTCGCGCGGGAGTCAGAACGGCATGTCCTTCCGTTCTTATCAAGTGGGCGTGCAGTCGGAAGCCTGAGCAAATGCAAAAAAGATACAATGTGGTGACTCGCCTCACATACCCTGGAATATTTCGCAGTAATACTGAGAAATACCGCATGCAGCCGTGCTTGCCTGTCTATGGCCCCTTGTGAGTAGGCAACGGATCCACTCGCCTGCACGGCGGTACAGTGTAACTAAATTCTGCTGAGGGGCCACCACGACCTGCTGTTTGTTTTCTACCTCTCTTGCCACTGCGGAGTCTGTTCGTTCTACCTCGCTAAGCCACTGGAAGGCAAAAGTTCATGGAACTAAATTCATCCCGGCATTTAACTGTCCGTGCAGACCGGCCGTTCGTCCTGCCGCTGCCCCCTCCCCCTGCCCCCACTCCATCCATCCACTCATTCATGATTATTAAGGCCGTTCGCCTGCAAAGGAACAGCAGGATCAGAAACATGCTGGCGGCGTGCGCGGCGCGGGCGTGGCGTGGAGGAGCTCTGGAGAGGTCCGCGCAAGGCGCCTCCAGTGACGGCCGCGCCGCCGTGCGCCGTGCGCTCCTCCTCGCTGGAGTGCGTCCGCGTGCTCGCGGCCCGCCATGCGCCGTCGGCATGCAAAGAGCCAGGCCAGTTAGTCATGCTGCCGCAAGTCCTCCTCCTCCTACTCCTCGTTGTCGCCGTCGCTCCTCTCGGCTAAGTGATGACATGACGACGATACGCCGCCGGGGCGCGCGGCGCGGCGGACCTCTAGGGCGCCTCAAATGAGAGGCAGGAGGCAAGACACAGGAGGCGATTGCGCTCGGCCGCACCCCGCGCTGTGTACGGAGACAAGGCATGCTTGAGGGCGGCTCTCCTCCAGGCCACCTCCAGGCCACCTCCAGGCCGCCTCCAGGCCCACCTGTTGACCGCTCGCCTCGTCCACTTACTTGTGCTGCATCTTTCCTTTCCCCATGGCTACTAAAGTCTTGCGGCGGGGCGCACTCGTTCGGGGAGGTGTGAGGAGAGGTGCTGCGGCAGCGGTCCCTGACAGCTGGTTAATCCAAAAAGGCCACGCGCTGGAATCACAACAACACAAGTGACGGTCGCGGGGGCGGGGCGGGGCGGGACAAGACTGCCGCTGCGACGGACGCACCGAGCTTCGGTCTCCGAGGGCTGGCGCTGCACTGGCCAGGCACTCACACTCACACTAGTCACACTGACGCCTTCCTCGCCCGACGCTCGCCGCTCAGGCCGCGCGCTCGCCCCCCGCGGCTCCCCCGCCCCCCCGCGGGCCCGTGAGCCGCCTGCCGAGCCGGGCCGAGCCGCACCGACACAACACAACAGCCGCCGCAGCAGCAGCCGACCCGGGCGGCTGAGCCCGTACCCGTCCGGCTGGCTGGACGTGTTCCAGCGGCGGCGGCGGCGGCAGTAGCAGCCGTGAACTTCGTAAGGCGCCCCTCCCCCCGCCCTCCCGCCCCCGCCAAGCCGCAAACCTGCTCTCTGCTCCCCGAACCAGTATCGCCGGAGTACTCGCTGGCTGTTTGCTGCTGCTGCTGCCCGAGGTAGCGGAGCGGGTACCTGGCGCGGGTAGCAGACGGGTAGTACCTCTCAGGCCGGAGCCCTGTGGCGCCATCTGTGGCCCTCGGGAGGTACCCGCTGCCGGCGGTCCCCGGGCGCGCGCGCGCACTAGTTGTGCGTCACGCCGGCAGAGCGCAGCACGCCGCGGGCGGCGCTGCCGGTGGCGGCTGGTTGTTGGTTTGGCGGCCTCTTTGAATTATGGCGCGCTTCCCGCGCAGTTAGTGTCGCCGGGAAACTGTTCGCCAAGGCGAGGGTGGTGAGGGTGGCGAGGAGAGCGGCTTCGGAGGGCTCAGCGCGTCCAGTGGCCGTGGTCTGTGTCTGGAGGCGAGAGCGCGAGAGTGACCGGTTGAGAGTGACTTCATGGTCTCATGGAATGATTGATTTGTATGTCCGTACGTCCGCCCATCCGTCTGTCATAATCTCTTTCCCGAAGACGAAGTCCCGTAAATTTTTACTTTTCTACATTTAAATGTGAGAGAGTTGAAAGTTAACGGTTCCAAATCTTTGCAAGTTTCAAGTTCGCCTGTTAAAAGTTGAAAAAAAAATCAAGGGTTTTGCAGTTCAGAAAAAAAGAAGAGTACGAGCGAGGTAGTAGGAAATAAGAAAGAGGCTCAGCACCGTGCCCGTGCGTCAAAAACAAAAATCCTCTCTCTCCCGCATGGCTTATGGCCTGCCCTGGCCGGAGAGGACGGTAATTCCTCATGAACATCCCGGCACCGGCCCGGCGCCCATCTCTCATCCTCTTGGACACTGGCTGCCCTGCCCGCCCTCCACCCCCCGCTGGGACACTGCTCCCCGGGCGGCTGGAGTGCCACCCCCACAATATGATATATGGGGCGCCGCGTCCTGGACCCGCCCCTCCTTGACCCGGGCCGGGGGGCGCGGCGGGCCCTGCAGCGGCCGGGGCCGAGCCGGGGCGCGGCCCTGAGGCCCCTTGTTCACGTGGGCCCGTGTGTCCCGGTGACATGAGGAGGTCAAGCACATCAACGTGCACCCCTGTGTCGGGAGGGCGCCCCGCCGCGCGGCCGCGACCTGGCCGTCGCCGGGCCCGGGCGGGGTCGGGGTGGGCCGCTTCCTGCAC